ATTATACTGAACTTGTCAATTCATGCTAAGATCTTGCAAACTATCCAATTTTAGACTCTACATAAGTTTGGTTTTTAAAGGAGCACTTATTTATTTTTGAATTGTGTTATTTAAGTGTTCAATATGAATTTAGATAGTAATGGAGGGTCGTCCATCTTGCAGTCAACATAAACACTCTGATCAATGTTGGATAAAATAACTTTCAATATTTAAGATATGTTAAAACACACACAAAAGAACAAAATGTACATTAATGCTGGCCCTGTCGATGAAAACTCAGTAGACTGACCTGAATTTTCACTTTTTCGTCCGATCATCTTGGAAAGTTTTTTGTACATCCCCATAGACGTAAATAGTAACCAAAAAAATTATTTTTGAAAAATTCGGAAATTTAGGTGTGCCCCAAGCCGTTTCCATGACAACCGCGCTCGCGAACCTCAGAAATCTGGAAAAATTCGATATCTCAGGACCCATTGCACCTACAGAGCTAAAATTAGGCTTAAAAGATGCGGAATCAGCACATTTATATGAGACTTATTAATAAACATATAGCCTAAAGTGCTCACTTTCGTCAAAAATTGCAAAAAACACATTTTTTGTACATTTCCATGGCAACCGCGCCCTAAAATTTGGATGTGCATCTCTATTTTTCAGTCAAACTATGAACAGCTCAGAACTACAGGGGGATAACTACAGGGGGAGAACTAGAGGGGAGAGAACAGCTCAGTACTACACCTGAGGAAGAACTACAGGAGGGAGAACAGCTCAGAACTACAGGGGGGGGGGGGGGGGGGAGAGAACTACAGGGGAGAGAACATCTCAGAAGAACTACAAGGGGAGAACAGCTCAGAACTACAGGAGGGAGAACTACAGGGGGAGAACAGCTCAGAACTACAGGAGGGAGAACTACAGGGGGAGAACGGCTCAGAACTACAGGAGGGAGAACTACAGGGGAGAGAACAGCTCAGAACTACAGGGGGAGAACAGCTCAGAACTACAGGGTGGGAGAATTACAGGGTAGAGAACAGCTCAGAACTACAGGGGGAGAACAGCTCAGAACTACAGGAGGGAGAACTACAGGGGGAGAACAGCTCAGAACTACAGGGTGGGAGAACTACAGGGGGAGAACAGTTCAGAACTACAGGAGGGAGAAATACAGGGGAGAGAACAGCTCAGAACTACAGATTACAGGGGGAGCACTACAGCGGAGGGAACAGCTCAGAACTACAGGGTGGGAGAACTACAGGGGGGAGAACAACTCAGAACTACAGGAGGAAGCACTACAGGGGGAGAACAGCTCAGAACTACAGGAGGGAGAACTATAGGGGCAGAACAGCTCAGAACTACAGGATGGGAGAACTACAGGGGGAGAACAGCTCAGAGGAACTACAGGGGAGAGAACAGCTCAGAAGAACTACGGGGGAGAGAACAGCTCAGAAGAACTACAAGGGAGAACAGCTCAGAACTACAGGAGGAAGAACTACAGGGGGAGAACAGCTCAGAACTACAGGGTGGGAGAACTACAGGGGGAGAATAGCTCAGAAGAACTACAGGGGAGAGAACAGCTCAGAACTACAGGGGGGAGAACAACAGGGGAGAGAACAGCTCAGAAGAACTACAGGGGAAGAACAGCTCAGAACTACAGGGGAAGAACAGCTCAGAACTACAGGAGGAAGAACTACAGGGGGAGAACAGCTCAGAACTACAGGGGGAGCACTACAGCGGAGAGAACAGCTCAGAAGTACAGGAGGGAGATCTACGGGGGAGGGGGAACTACAGGGGGAACATCTCAGAACTACAGGAGGAAGAACTACAGGGGGAGAACTGCTCAGAACTACAGGGGGAGCACTACAGCGGAGAGAACAGCTCAGAAGTACAGGAGGGAGATCTACGGGGGAGGGGGGAACTACATGGTGGAACAGCTCAGAAGAAACTACAGGGAGGGGGGAGAATAGCTCAAAAGAACTACATGGGGAGTGAACAGCTCAGAACTACAGGAGGAAGAACTACAGGGGGAGAACAGCTCAGAACTACAGGGGGAGAACTACAGGGGGAGAACGGCTCAGAACTACAGGAGGGAGAACTACAGGGGAGAGAACAGCTCAGAACTGCAGGGGGAGCACTACAGGGGAGAGAACAGCTCAGAACTACAGGGAGGGAGAACTACAGGGGAGGGGTAACTACAGGGGGAACAGCTCAGAACTTCATGGGGGAACAGCTCAGAAGAAACTACAGGGAGGGGGGAGAATAGCTCAAAAGAACTACAGGGGGAGAACAGCTCAAAAGAACTACATGGAGAGAGAACAGCTCAGAACTACAGGGGGTGAATTACAGGGGGAGCAGCTCAGAAGTACTATGGGGGGAGACTTACAGGGGAGAGAACAGCTCAGAACTACAGGGAGAGAACAGCTCAGAACTACAGGAGGGAGAACTACAGAGGAGGGGGAGAACTACATGGGGAACAGCTCAGAATTATGTAGTTCTAAGCTGTTCTCCCTCCTGTAGTTCTTCCTCAGGTGTAGTACTGAGCTGTTCTCTCCCCTCTAGTTCTCCCCCTGTAGTAATCCCCCTGTAGTTCTGAGCTGTTCATAGTTTGACTGAAAAATAGAGATGCACATCCAAATTTTAGGGCGCGGTTGCCATGGAAATGTACAAAAAATGTGTTTTTTGCAATTTTTGACGAAAGTGAGCACTTTAGGCTATATGTTTATTAATAAGTCTCATATAAATGTGCTGATTCCGCATCTTTTAAGCCTAATTTTAGCTCTGTAGGTGCAATGGGTCCTGAGATATCGAATTTTTCCAGATTTCTGAGGTTCGCGAGCGCGGTTGTCATGGAAACGGCTTGGGGCACACCTAAATTTCCGAATTTTTCAAAAATAATTTTTTTGGTTACTATTTACGTCTATGGGGATGTACAAAAAACTTTCCAAGATGATCGGACGAAAAAGTGAAAATTCAGGTCAGTCTTTCATTGAAAAGCTATAGTGAAATCATTGGATCTCATTAATGCTGGCCTTGTCAATGACGGGCTATGAAGAAATCGTACTTCCCATATCCTCACTGCCTCAGCTTTCCCTCGGATGCCTGATTCTGTCTGTTAACTACCTATTTTGTGTGTAACGTAGTAAATGATCCTGTTATGCTGTTGTGAATTTCATTATGAATTAAGGGTTTGTAAAGATATGTCTTGTAATTTTATTTCAAATAAATCATCCTAACCTTGTGAGTTCACTGAACAATTTAAAATTAAATAAACACATGAACAAGATAATTTAGAAATAGATGTATTCCTTTGCCAACCAAACTTCTGTTGAGTCTAAGATATTCTAAGACATGACATTGTGCAAGACCTCAACTTATGTTGACAAGTTCAGTAATGTTTCAATCACGTAATAGTTACTTGTTGTCTAGCTAGGATCAAGGATTACATCTCATATTGCGCCACACAACACAGTCTTTGGTCCTAGCTAGATGGCACATAGCGCATCTCGAAATCGATCACGTGACGCATTACATGCCATCTAGCTAGTGTCTTAGCGAGGTTATGATAATCTGCCTTGCTTGTTTAATGATGTGATTTTGTGATCTGGGTTGGTCCAGTTTGCCTTATGTTCAGTTAACCAAATTTTTTATTGCTGATCTGGTCAAGTCTTGTTAGAAAATGATGGTTATCTGGTCAGCTCCCAATAATCGTTGATCCTGAGCTTATCACAGGGGCACCATTTGAAGATAGCTTTGCAGCTGCTTGATTAGTGACCATATGTTCAACACAGTCTGACAGCCTCCATCACACCTTCTTAAACCCATCAGCAAAGTTTTTTACCAATTGGTCATTGGAGAAAAATTCAGTCAAAACTGTGAAATATTTGTCCACGACATTTCATTGTCAATTTTTGACAAAAAAGGGGCACTATAATTTTTCCATTTCGTTATGTTTTCTACGGTAATCCAATTTCCAGTTACAGTTTTTAGCCATCCAAAGTTAAATGACTAATGGTCACTGTGAAATTTCGGTTAAGGAAATATCATATTTGGATAAAGTACAGAAAGGGAAAATATGACTTTCAATTTTGTAATGCTTTCTCTAGATGTTTTGTTGGGCCGGAATCAACTTTGAGACTTTCCTTAATTATCTCTTACTTGACTGACTTATCAGTCATTGAACGAAAATTCAGTCAAAAATGTGTCTGTTTTTGAGATATAGATGCTAATATATATATTTGTGGTTTGATAACTTATTTACGTGAGAAACAACTACATACCACGTTGTCACAAGCCCGCTAAAGATTAACTTTTAAGCACAGCTTCGATAAAACCATGCATCTAAAATCCGGAAACAGATTTTAAGATGTTGTATTTTTAACCAAGAAAGGTTCGACACCTTTTGAAAATTTCCAGAGGTTTGGTAGTCCAACAATTTTGGTCCACAGTTTGGTGTTCCACTATACGTTCTAGAACAAGTTTCTGTTGCTAACGGAAGAATGAGGGGAACAAAGACTTGGCTGTAATTAGCTGAGACACAAAGTTCTCTCGCTTTATACTTTATGCACGATGCTGGAGCTTGTAACAGTTGTTGTAAGAGGTCAAACACGTTACTTCCCAAGCACAGTACTTTTGTCGACCAATTCTACTTGCCTCAATTTTAGGCTTTCGGCAAGCACCATCAGAACTTTAACGTAGATGCATTGTGTGTTACTATTGAGTAATAAAGTGAATCACCACCACTGGGCACTGCGTTTAATTTCCAGTATAGTTCTCGACTGTTTCTGCTTCATTTACTAAATTTTGATAATTGATAAACAGTAGTTGCATGTTTAGTTCTTTTTGTTGTAGAAAGTATCAAAGTGTGGCTTAATCATATTAAGCAATAAGCAATATTGTAAAAAATGCAAGTTATTATAACTAATCTGATTTGCTCAGTCGTCAGTTGTCGATGTTTTGATTGTCGGCTGTTACATATTATATAGTTATAACTCATTATCAAATCTTAAAATGTTGCCGATACAGAATGCTATTTTATGGCTCATGAAAATGGTTGCTACGATCAAGTCCATGGTAAAACGAGCTGATAATCATGACACGGGAGTTGCCAACGGCCGAAGGCAAGTCTTTAGAACGACATAAACCTGTATACATTACAGTTGCAGATAGGCCCCCTACAACATCTGAAGAAACGGATGATCCTCAAATAGGACCTGAAAGCATGGAACCTGGACCATCCAGTTCTGAAGAAAGCAGCTACCCTCAGGATCTGTTCATGTCCTGGAAGACAGATACTGTGGGCACTATTTGTGATAAACTCTCTGAACGACAAAGATCTGCTTTCATTTATGTGAGTATAATTTATTTTATTGTAATCTGTTGATTAATTACCATAATTGTTTCATCTTCTTTATATATGTTAATTATTTCTACTCTTGAATGATAATTAATTCTGAGCAAATCAAGTACAGTTTAACTTTCAAACATAGAACGGGCAAGGCAGTCAGTTCAGGCATACTTAAATTGGACTCCAGCGTCCAGCGTCGTGCTGAGTTTTGATAATTTCAAATACCGTTACTAACAAATAAACTATACACCTGAACTCTGAAGTTGTATACCGTCGACAAATCGACACGTTCGCTATCTGTCGCTATGCGAGAAATTTTTAAACTGTCGAGCTGCCTAGAAGCCATGTAAAGACTACAAAACATAGTTTCCAGAATAGTGCAGTATACCGTGCTACTATACATATCTTGTTGACTGTGGAAATTCTTTGTGCTTGTTAGATTGTGCCCCTTAATAAGTTGTACTTTGAGGTTGTTCTTAAATCTAAATTTAGAAAAAGGCGTCAAAAACACTGTAGTGCAGCATGCTTATATCGTTAAAAAATAAGATAACATTTCAAATACCTCATTAAACTAAATTGACTAACCAGTTCTGATGAATTCGCTGCCTGATGGGCACTATAACTAACTAAATAACGTGGAATATCTTGTTTTTAGCTTCCTTAAACCAATTTAAAGACTTAAATTTTGACATTTTTGACTGTACTACATATAATGTCATTAACTGCACACATTTCGTCAGCATTTTTTGTTGTTGAAAATTGCATATTAAGAATTTACAAGTCATTATATATATTTTTCCTGCTGCTCTCCGCCAACTCAAGGTTGCTGCCGCTGTAGTTCTGGGCTTTGCATACAGCACATAATAAAGCACAGTAAATAAAGCACACACTATTTTATAAGTGTTGAAGGTAGAAGACAGAAGTTGTTGAGTCTTGCTGATTACCACACTGATGTGCTGTAATTGTTCATCATGTCAATAAAGCAAGTATGTTTAATGTTTGTACTGTAGCATCCTTTCTATAATACTTCTTCTCGCCACGTTTATCACAAACCTAGTTTTGCCTCTTTTCGCCGATTTTAAATTCACAAATTGTTGTATTTTTGCAGCCCCGGTTAAAGTTTTAAAACCTTGTCTCCCCTCAGGAGTTGTTAGGTCGGTTGCCAGCAAATAATCGGCTGTTCCTGGTCCGGAACATTGAGAGGATAGCCACAGTAGACTACATCTCAGAGCTCCCTGACGAGCTGTCATTGGTCGTGTTGCGGTTTCTAGATCCTACTTCTCTACTGGCTGCTACTCAGGTTCTTATTGCATTTAGATCTGTACTGTTCCAGCTTATTTTCAATGTATTTTGTATGTTCAGACCTCGTTCGTCTGTGTAATTTGAATGTCTGAGCAACAAGTTCTAGAAGCTTCAAGAGTTTGAGCTAACATTGAGTTAGTCCGTATCTTCTGATTATATTACAATATTACATACGGAGTTCTGTGTACCAAGTTGCTATGAGAAACCCTACGAGTCTGGTAAACAATATTCACAAAAATATCAAATTTAGTCACCATGCTAATCTACCTTGTGATATTCCACTCACCGAAGAGAGAGAGAGAGAGAGAGAGAGAGAGAGAGAGAGAGAGAGAGAGAGAGAGAGAGAGAGAGAGAGAGAGAGAGAGAGAGAGAGGAGAGAGAGAGAGAGAGAGAGAGAGAGAGAGAGAGAGAGAGAGAGAGAGAGAGAGAGAGAGAGAGAGAGAGAGAGAGAGAGAGAGAGAGAGAGAGAGAGAGAGAGAGAGAGAGAGAGAGAGAGAGAGAGAGAGAGAGAGAGAGAGAGAGAGAGAGAGAGAGAGAGAGAGAGAGAGAGAGAGAGAGAGAGAGAGAGAGAGAGAGAGAGAGAGAGAGAGAGAGAGAGAGAGAGAGAGAGAGAGAGAGAGAGAGAGAGAGAGAGAGAGAGAGAGAGAGAGAGAGAGAGAGAGAGAGAGAGAGAGAGAGAGAGAGAGAGAGAGAGAGAGAGAGAGAGAGAGAGAGAGAGAGAGAGAGAGAGAGAGAGAGAGAGAGAGAGAGAGAGAGAGAGAGAGAGAGAGAGAGAGAGAGAGAGAGAGAGAGAGAGAGAGAGAGAGAGAGAGAGAGAGAGAGAGAGAGAGAGAGAGAGAGAGAGAGAGAGAGAGAGCTAGAGGACGTTGTACAACAATGATCTAATGAAATGTGTTGCAGGTTTCAAAGTACTGGAACAAGTTGATAAACTCAGAGTGCATGTTATGGAGGGAATTGTGCTTCTTCCTGAGAATCTCCCTAAAATACAGCTTATCTCTCCCCGCTTCACATTACAGAGATAAGATATTATCTTATCAGAGAAACCTCCACAAACTAAAACAGAAGAACGGCTGTGTAACCAGATCAGTGTCAGATGTATCGAGCACACCAGCCCACACCAGCCGCACGCTGGCCCTCAGTGCTAACACCAACAGATTCTACAGCGGAGGAGATGATAGGTTCATCCGGTGCTGGGATAGAACCACATTCTCTATGATAAGTGAACGAGAGGGCATGGCACCGAGCTGTATTGACTGTACTGAGACTATCGTAGCAGCCGGGTCGTATAACGGCTGTGTGTTGGTGTACGATACGGAGATAACCCGTCTTATCAGCACCTGTTCGCGACACATGGGACCAGTGTACCATGTCAAATGCTCAACAGACAGCAGTGTCATAGTGTCCGGTTCATCAGATTGTACGGTTAGGGTGTGGGTTGTTACAGATAACTCCAGCAACTGTAAACATGTGTTCAGAGGTCACGAGACTATGATCAATAAAATAGTACTGTTAGATGAGAGGGTATTCAGTTTGGATATAGCTTGTATCAAGGTTTGGAATGTAGATGACAAGAAGATGCTTTGTGATCTGAAACCGCTGAGTTATGGGGGCAAAGAAGGGTATTTTCAGCCTGGTTTACTGAAGACTGAAGTGTTAGGTAGGACAGGTGAGAAGTGTACTGTAGTAGTGTGTGGATCTTCTCATGGGGTGTACATGTGGGAAGCCACCACGTACAACCTGCTGCGTATAGTCAAGAGTGGGGGGTATGTGTGTGCGGAGCAGATTGTGGGTGTCGGCTCCGCCTTCATAGCAGCGACATACGATGACGGAATTGCGCTGATAAACAACCTAACAGGTCACCACGAACTGACAATACAAGTTCCTCAGTTTAACAATACCAGTTGTGGGCTTTGGCTCAATGACAGGTCCTACTGGCTTGATGGCCGGTTTGAGGATTTGGACTCCCAGCCGCTCTTCACTGCAACCACTCTGGCTGGGGATATTTCCAGCTTTTACATCAAAAATTAAATGAATTTCTGTAAGTCAGCGTTGAAGTTATGTGATTAAGATTGAAAATTTATGCAGATTTGTAACGTGTCGATTTTTGTTTCCAAACTTTTAACTGTTTTTAAATTATGTGGTCGTTATTATATATTATGGAACTGAACTTGTAAATATTGTAACTTGTATACTTGTAAGATTTTATTCTGGGATTATAATTTTACTCATGGTTTAACTTACAACTTGTTTTACTATCAAAAAAACAGAAATTTACGATCGCCATTCACCTCTAGCATAGGGTATGTTTTTTAGAAACGGACTTTATCTCCAAAATTTTGAATTGGGAGCCTGAGCTAGATTAGAGACCCTGGACATTTTTAGATAAATAAAATGTTATTTCAGATCATCAAATCACTTTCCATTGCTATTAGAAATCAGTAAATATCAAAGGTACAGACTTTTATGGATTTGGTGGATCACAATTTGGGTAACGGTGATGTGCTGATCTGTACAACTCCCTGGTATTTAGCTAACTTGCCTTCTTAACAATAACGACTAAACTGAAGCTCATTTCAGAGCTGAGAATGTCTCAGTAATATCAACTTATCTCTTTACTGAACATCAATCCGAGGCCGTAGTCCCATATTGTACCATTTAGATTATAGCCCTAGCTAATGTTGCTATGTTCTAACTATAAGTTGAGCTTAACGAGCTACCCTAATGGTTATTAATTTCCGTTTCCTATGAAACATGCACCACGATTGAAAAGATAGGGTCTCAACGCAAGGATCTGTGTAATTACTATCCATATTGTACAGGGGGCCGGGGAGGCCGGGGGGAGGGCAAAATTCAGTACACATACGCGTTGGGGCTTATTTCTCAGTCGCTGTCCACTGAGTGCCATATTGAAATATTTCTATCTGGTATGATCATGACTTGCTATTATAACTTATTTGAAGAATGCATCAAATTAAATAATATCGATGTTCATTTTTCCTAATGAACTGTCATTCTCGGGTTTTTTAAATGTACACATGTCCTGAAAAAAAGGAAACTCTAGCTTCTCAGATAACCGATATATCAAGCAGAAAGAGTTTATTCATTACGATTTACGTGGAATCAGGTGATTGGGTTGAGGCTAGATCCGCACTATGGGCAGTGGCGTAACGTTGCCTGTTGGCGCCCCTGCTGAAAAAGCGCCCCCTGTTGGCGCCCTCTCCCCTCTTAAAGTAGAAACGTAAAGTTGAACAAATTAGGTTATTTCAGAGGATACGCTGGCAAAAGCTCTAAAAGGTGTGTTTTTAGAGCAAAACGCACAGCTTTGCTAGTACATTAGTTAAGTTTTTCACAATTGTCCCACATTCAAACGACGATTTGGCGCCCCCCCCCCCCCCCCTAAGATGGCGCTCCTACCCCGCACAGCGGGTTCGCGTCGGCGGGGGAACCGGACACGAGGGCGGATAACACAAGGGCGGTAGACACAATACTACAATAGCGCAGAACACGAGGGTGAATCACCCAGATTTAAACGAGCCTTAAATATCTCAGCGAACTCAGCAGCAGGTTTTGGGGTTTGGTAACGTGCTAAGACCAATCAAACACTACCTAGATGTTCATGTGACAAACTTGGCCTTCAAAATATCGCAGTCGCTGACGCTACGGTTACCTGGGTTTAGATCAGGGGTAGTACGTACCAAAACTGGTATTTACTTTGGGTAGACGAATTTCACTGAGGTGTGTTCACTCAATTTCAAACCATCAATCCTCTCAGTTAAAACGACCATCATTTAGGACGGTTTTTGTTCCGCCTTCGTGTTCATACTAAAATGAATCATGTGATTCGGCCTCGTGTCCACCTTTTTAATAAAGTAACGCCCTTGTGTCCTACGCCGGCCTCGTGTCCTCCGCTCTTGCGTCTACCGCCCTTGTTTCTTATACCCCGGCGGGGCTCTTCTTTACGCCACTGACTATGGGAATCGTGTAGAAAGCCCACTTACAGTATTATATCCTAGCACGCTGTCACATAATTACCCAATCAATTTTGCTAACGAGACAAACAAATCGCTTGATAAATTAGTTATTTTAATTCTGTTTCGGTTCAATTTTTAGGTCATATATCCCACATTCAATGATCTATTGTAATATATTAAAATGAAGTTTCTAGCATATTCGCAAACACGAGTATAAGCAATTCAATGTTGACTGGGTGTGGCCTCTAAAAATCGAATCTAAAAACTTAGGCGACGGAATCCTCGAATGAGTAGTTACTAGTTACAGTATACCATCTGCAAATTTACAGGATTCAAATATGAAGCATGGTTACGTTATAAGACCCCCCCTGTATCATACAGAATTACAGTTTTTCATTTTTCATCTCCTTTATATAGCTATAAGCAATCAGTAAACCATGTCTGACGCGTTTAAGAAAGCAGCCGAGGAAGTCAAGACCCTTCCCAGTGCAACGGACCAAGAGAAGCTTGAGTTGTACTCTTTTTATAAGCAGGTTAGTGAAACTTTAATAGTTATTTATTTTCCTTTTCCAAACAATAGAGTAAAGTACAGAAATCAATTACGTTTCAAATATTCTATAGTTGTTTGTTTAAAAGACGCAATTTTTGTACGTTTCATGTACACTAAGATTTGAAAAACATACATATAATTTGCCATCCATCTCGCTTTAAACAGTACTTCATTTCCTGGTTGCGACTCCGTAGCTATACATTTCAGGACATTTTTAACTCTATTTTTCAGGCTACAGTCGGCGACGTCAATACAGGTAGACCTGGCATGATGGACTTTGCAGGCAAAGCTAAATGGGATGCATGGAACTCAAGGAAAGGTAAGAAACAGTAATCTTTGAGTGTGTCCTGATTGCTTTCTTTAGTTTAGGGACAGAAAGAGTTGAAGGTTTCGAATTTCGCGCGTTCCATAATATGTGCCCAACCGTAAAATTGTAGATACGTCGGCGCACAACACGCGATCGATATGCGCGCATGCATGCGCGCGCGCGCCGCGCCTAAGCTAACTAAGCTAGCTTAGTACGTAACGAACTGTATAATATAAAGCAATGAAAGGCATTAGTTAATATGCCATGTAACGAATGTAATGCCTATAATATAAAGATACAACAACAAGATACAAGGGCAAGTCTCTCCCACAAGTTGGGATGGCCTGAGGTGCTTATCTCCTTTTCAGTAACCCTAAGCCACTCTGTGCCGAGGCACTATACTAGCTGTAGGGGGTTAGTCATACGAGCCAGAGAGTGTGTATCACCAGCCGAAGCTGTACCAAATCACAGCTTGGTAACCGGCCGACTTGCATCCGACCGGATTAGAACCCGGGCCTTCTGCTTGGGAGGCGATCGTGTTACCACTACACCAACCAATGACTATAAAGGGCACTGAGTTAAGATTCGATAGTCCGGGTATTGGGTGTAATTTTACACGGCATTTTCCCGGGTTGTAGGCCTGTTCAATGTTTTGTACAGTATCCTATCAAAATGAAAGCTCATATACACAGTTATATACAGTTATATGCAGATATACATATAGATATGCAGATATAGTTCCTCCAAAGATATTAAACAGCTTTTAATATAACTTCGGTAGAAAAGATAAATAAGACTTCGAATTCATTGTCTTTCCGAGAATCTGTTCGCAGTTTTAGCTTAAGATCTGACGGATTCTACCGAACAAAATTTATGGCATTTGCACATCATTCTCAGCTTTGCAGTCATACTCCAGCGAGTAACTAATGATACGAGCCCAATAGAAGGATTTAATGTTATAAACAATCATCGCTATTTTAGAATACTAGATCCCAGACTATACTGAAATTTAGAGCTCCTAGCTAGAGGTGTTCTTATTTTTATCACACCCACTGTAATTAACGAAATTTTACGAAACTTTCAGTGAATCTAAGTTTGGCCCATATCTGTAATCCATAAAATTGTTTTACAATTCCGAAACGGATAACAAGAGTTATTAAAGGGTTGCGAACTTATCGATAACATCTTAAAATTATGTAAAAGTGGAGCGAGGCCCACTTCTTGTCCACAACATTTTGTGTATCAGTTTAATGGCTTAAATTTCGGAAAAAAGCAAAGTTTGTTACATTAACTGTAAACAAGTAGTACTTGTAGTAAATAAGACCTACAAACTCCACTGGAATTTTGGAACTGTTATCAGATAATTGTAGAAAACCTATTGTCGGCTCTAGAATTGAGGTGTTCCGGGTCGGGAACACTGTTTAAGACTCTGGCGACAAACAAAATTGGAATAGTTTTTCACAATACAGACTGTTTAAATAGCTACACATCATAGTTGGCACAGTTCACGCTAATTTCAGTCAGGAGGGCAAAGTCACATTTCAACGCGAGTGCTAATTTCTCAATTATTATAACACGTGACATGAAATAGCGCTGTCATCACTCAGCACTGGCTTAGTCCGCTCACAAGGAAATATCTTCTTAGCCGATTCTATATAAATACAACTTTTGCAGCGTAGGTGTCGGTAGGCAGCATACGTTTGCAATAAGACTAACAACTTCTAATAACGGCGGTACCCGCCAGCGTCACGTTGTGTGTGCTGCCTACCATCTATTGATACTTTTTTATTGCATCCTCTGTCCAACAGAAAGTGGTACTGTTTACCCAATACCCATCTTACGAAACTTTAGCTGGCTCGGTTCTAATCTCCTTTGTCTATGGTTTGGTTTTTAAATTTTAAATGTTTCTACAATGAAGATATTTATACCCAGCACTATTTCCAGGGACCAGTAAGGAGGACGCTGAGAGCCAATATATTGCCAAAGTGGAGGAGCTGAAAGGGAAGTATGGTGTCGCCTAATTCAGTCCGGACTTTTGCAGGAATGTTAATTTATTCTTGCATAATTTGATAGGAGGGACATAATTTGTAGCGTTTCGATTGACCTTATTTATATTAATTGATATGTGAGTGAAGCGTGCTATTGCAATATATAATAATGGTTTTCACTAATATCAGTATACGGTATGATCATTGATCAATTTTTGTTGAAAGCCTTATAATTAATAACTAATTTTTAGATTATTTGATGAAATATTGTTTATCTTACCACTTACAGCTCCAGCCTTAGTACGTAGTTTTCCCAGTTAATTTGGAAGGGTACGTTTTCTTATGGATTAAAAGCCTTAAAAGAAAATTAAGATCCTTTTTGTACTGAATGTTATGTGTATGTTGTGTGTGCTTCAAATATAATTTCTTTAAAAAGAGTTCTGTTTTACTTATATTGGTCTCGTGAGTCGTGACGCGAGACAAACGTCACGTGGGGGTGCGAAGCTGTACAACTACTGATAGATATCTTTATTCGAAATTCTCAGGATTAATGTTTAACTATAATTGCTTCATTACATTGTACATCAACGACAACATGATGCATGGCCTGGCCTTATGTTATTGATCATAATTAACTTTGCTACGCAATTAATTTCAACCATAATCAGAGGTCAAAAAATAGGATGATGATTAATCACTCTACACTCGACTGTCACGTGACTTTTTTTAACACGTTCTCTAGGTCGCCCTGGATGACTATTCGAAACCCTTACCCTCTAATTTGATCTCTAACCCGTGACGTGACACGTACAATGAATAAACTTATGCGCATGCTCGTAACATTCATGTTCCGGGTGTTCTTTTTCATTTACAAAATAATAGATTTTCAAGTGTTGAGTGATTTATTTATGTAAATGACTAGAACAGAAATTTCTAATTCAAGAAAAATTTAAAATCTAAATTACAAAAACTAAAATAAAAACCGTCAAATCTGTCAACAATATTTCCTGTAACATCTCAATAACAAAGGAAGTTTCACATTAATAGTTCTTGAACTCTAAGTCTAAAAGAATTGAAAGTGAGTACCATAAAAATACAAACTCAAAATTACAAACCATAGTTTTACGATATATCGAATTTAAAATAAGACTCCGTATGAATATATGATGTTTGCTAATATTGCAAACAAAAAGAATATCATGACACAACACCAAATTAACTTTGACAAATCCAGACTCAAATTTAAAATATAAATCTTTGTATTCCTGCATAATATTCAATATTCATGATGTGTCCTGCACAACTTATTCCCTTTAAAACAGCTAAATTTCAAGGATTCCCCTAGCTATCAAGAGATGACCTCAATGTCTTCTTGCACCCCAACCATCAGCATTGGTTCCTCCTGTTCATCTACAACGGAATTCTTACGTTTTTCTTTATCCTCTTGTGGTGGGTTTTTCAACCTGGTGTGATTCCAAGTCAGGATAAGACGGGACGAGAGTAGAGACAAAGAGTAGAAGAGGCCTTGTCTACAATTATAGTGTAAAATTAAAGAACTTTCAACTTTGGAAGATGGAATGGGCGACTCATAATAGAGTGAGTGAATTAGACAATAGAATGAGTGAATTAGACAATAGAATGGGTGAATTAGACAATATAATGGGTGAATTAACAATGTCACGCTACTTATCACTAATAGTATTAGTAATAGTAATACATTTAGCACTTGCTCACTTCAAACCCCCTCCGCACTTCACAAGAGCTTATTGTAAACAAGTTTGGAGATAATTATAAGTTCTTCAAACTTTTAAAGCCAAAACAAATAAAGCTTCAACGTTGGGAAATTAATTACACTATTACAGACGAATAACTACGGATCTGCGATGTAGTATGTACGCATATGTCACATAATGTACCAGTCAGAAAGTAATGTCAGGTGATGTGGTAAATATCATTATTAACACCACAGAGGTCAAGAGTGTCCCTGGTCTAGTCACTTAAAATAGGCTTATATTTATAAGCGCCATACTAATTCATTAAAAAGTAACAAAACAGATTTCAGATCGAACAGAACTGAAATTTCAGTAGTTTTCTAGTTTTTGCATAAATTTTAGATCTGGAAGGGTTTTTTACCTGAACAGGAACTCATTCTAACGAATCTTCTAGAGCCAGTAGCTTCCTCCTCTCAGCATTCTTCCTAGACAGCGTGCTTATCTTGGATGGTACCACAATTTTCTTATCTGATCGAGCATCAGGAATTCTATCTCCACTTCTAGTCCTAGCTTCAACTTTAAGAGGAAGCGAAGTTGAGTGAACGACACCAGATTTATCTGCAGACGAGGATGCTACTTCGGCAGACCGTACCTTTTTCAACGGCGGTTTTATCTCTGAACGTTGGGAAGCTGACCATGATCCAGTATTAAGATTCCGTTGTTCTCTGCTGTCCGATGAAGTCGAAGGTGGTGTTCTCAGCTCCGCTTTACGTTTACTTTGCAGAGCTATATCCACGAGGAATTTGTGCCTACCTTTTGTCCCACTCTCGGCGACCCGCTTCATATGTTTGGCTATTCTTGTAGCTTTTCGCTTTCTTTTCGCTGACTTCAGATTTAGAAAATCTAAACTCATGATCAGATTGCTGCCTCGACGATTTTGAGCTGTAAGCTTTACTGGAGAAAAATTCCCGTCGTGAGATTCATCCGATTGGTTGGGGACCTCTTCATTGTCACTGTCATCGTCAGTCAATTGGTCACTGTCGAAAAATAGAAAGCTAAGATTTGTCGGAGTCGGTAATTCCGTCATTATTATGATTGTAATCTTTAAATTAGTGTTATTAGTCAACTTTCCCATGGCCATGTTTATTGTTTAATATGATATAACTATGATCATTTGATAAATTGCTGAGAAGGCTACACTTTACGAGCGGAGGGATTAAAACGGGCGGCCAATCTGTCACATTGTCGAATAGGTTAGATACAATATTTGATCAACTAGAGTTAGCATGTGCTGCTTCAGCTTTCAGGCAAAAATACAACAGTCCTAAGAAATTAAGGGATCACATAATAATGACAGCCAGATAGCGGACAACATATAAAAATGGGCAGCGAACACACCAAAATATCCAGGGTCACCATCTTACGTCGAAACACTAACTTTCACTTCATAAGGGTCCGCCTCTCTTGCATGGCCACTGTGCAAAACACGTGGTTATAACTTTAAACACGTGATAATAACCACAACTCTTAATTAAGCGGTTGAATACAAAGCGGTATTCTTGATCAAAAGAAAGCAAAGAAAATAGAGCACAGAATCTCACAGGCAAGTTCAAAATCCCAAAATTAAGTGATTGATGCATATATAACGATGATATTTAAATCATACCGGATCAGCAGCCCATATTGAAGGATCAATTTAAACTCACTTTGCTGGCAAGCTCCCTTTGTTTCTTCTTATAGTGAAGAATTTTTTTGTATTCTTCATAAATGATCTCTTCCCGTCGGCCCGATGGTGAGAGTCATCGATTCCATCGTCTACAGTTTCTCGAGTAACCTGTGGCAAAAATAGAGTATAATTAGATATATGTAGAGATTTAAACAAGATTAATCGGGATATCATATTATATAGCACAATCTGTAATCTGTATTGCAAATAAAATCTTAACTATGATCTACGTGGGATTAATGCTGCTTCATGTTAGCGGAAAGGATGTTTAAAATTCGTGACTAGCTCTTGTTCAGGATTTTAACATTTAAGATAGCAGGTAAACTGATTAATTCGTACAGCAGTTCGAAAGCTGTTTGAGTTTGACTAGTAGATTGCTAAATGGACGCCAACCACAAATAGAGCTTATTCTGAATCACAAAAAAAGCTGAAGCACCAATAAAGCTAAAGCACAATTGTGAATTGAAGCTGAATTGAAGCCTTTGGTGGAAGCATTTCAATTTCACACGAGAATGCACACAGTTGTAAGGAGCTCTATTCTCACGTCAGCTTCGAGGTCCTGGTCTTCTTGCAAAATATCCATAGCAGATTTAACCACGGTGATCGGAGGAGGTGCGGGTCCGACTTGTATTTTTCGGGGAGCGGATTTATTTTTAGTTTTAGAACCTAACGGCGCCGAGGCCATTGGATCCCTAAAGTCTGAAGCAGTTCTGTTTCTGCGAAAGAAGCTCGGTTTTGATGGTGATAAAGTCACTGAGAAGGATCGGGCTTTTCTTCCCGTTTTTGACGATGTTTTCTTTACTTCCTTTTGTTCCTTCTGATTGGTGGTTGTTTTCAAGTTCTCCTTAGACGTTTTGTAGAGAAGCATTCCCATACTCATGGTTTGTATTTCCTGAACAAGAGCTTTCAACATTCACCATTCGCTAAATGTCTGCCACCAGGTTAAAATGAGATCATTATCGATTGACAAAGGTCATGCTTTATATTTATAGTAAACAAAAGATTGTAGTATAGCCTTAGTATAAGTTGTAATTCTTAATGAAAAGCTCGAATAACTTATATTTGAATCCGACAACATCTGCAGGACAGACGATAACATGGTATTACTATTACATCAAATAATTACATCATGACTAAATGTCAATACATGTTATACTTATAAAAACTCTTTGCAAGTGAAAATAACGACGTATATAAGTGAGCAGCTAGAGTTCCCATTCTTTCGGACAATTGTATTTTGAAAACTGAAAAGTCAAACTCAAACACGATGCATTACAATTTGGCGCGATACCATATCTCAAAATATCTAAAAACCGCGAAAATTAACGTTCATTCGGTAAAATTTAAATGAGCATCGTTATAATTTGACTTGATAGCAAGTCATATCAGAAAGAATTATCTCAATCGGGCACTTAGTGACTGACTTTGCCCCCCCCCCCCCCCCCCCCCCAGCCCCGACATAAAAAGGAGATTAGCGCCCCCAACGTATGTGTACTGCCCCCCCCCCCCCCCCCCCCCTCACACAAAATATTTTAAAGCCCTGTCATACCTTAGTCTTCTTCTTGAATGTGGGCTTCGAATCGCCGTCAGACACTCTAGCCAGCTTTGGATCTGACAGTAGATTGTATAATATTACAAATTTGAATATAGGTGCATACTATTTAATGTCATGCGATCATGATTCTGAAATACTTTTGGCTACATACGTTACCAGCAACATAAAAAGGGCAGCTGTATCGTGGTAAGGATAGCAAAAAAATAAAAACATTATCTTAACGGATTAGAAATTCCAAGGTGCTTTGAATATTAGCGAGAAAGTAATCCAATCCCTGAAAAGTGGATTAAAATTCTAAATAGCGTTTGATTCTGATTTACGAGTTTTCAGTTTTACTTTATTGGATACTTATCATATTTTTCATAATTACTGGTTCTTACGATGTAAATAACCAAAACTTTTTAAATTTGTGTTTCCATACAAGTCAATCACTAGTAAACACATTATATCGATTAATTTCCGTGTATTAAAGTTACATCGTTCAGGTCATCAGTATGATAAATTTGACATTAAGGTTTAGTCAACTCATGTTGATGAACGTGGTTATTGTAGACCGCAAGACATCAAATATTGTTGAAATAGGAACTCATCAGATGTAGAGACACGTTATCAGTGGGCATTTAGTGTTTACCAATTACTTTAAATTTAAGAGTCATTTAATGCGTAGGAAGACTAATATCACTCAGACAACCAGATGAAGAAGCAAAACCAAACCATAATCCAAACCCTGGAAATTTCAGAAAACTCCAGTGACTTACGAAATCTAGTGATTTTCAATTTCTTTGCTAAGTACTCTTTTGGTCGAGCACGTTTGACAGCCCTCAAAGCACGAGTGGTAAAGGTAATTGTGGTAGTTGTAGACTCCACCATGGAACCTGCAATTCGAGATGGTGTGTGTATTTGTAATTTGACACATGAAATCATCCTGCATAATGGAATGAAGAACTGTGGAAGCTGACTTCCTTGTTGACTGTTCAGGTCTTCCCTGAATCTCCAAACAAAAAAAGCGGTGCAGAAGAGGATGAAACGCACACTCTACTTACATCTTGCCTCAACATCCTCGACAACCTCCACATCTTTGACGTCCTCGACATCCTCATATTTCTCTTTTTTCTTGTTAAAGCCCAATTGCATACGGATGCGACTTGCAAAACGGGTGTGTGTCGAAACATAATCAACTGAATATAAAATGTTTGCTGCAATATTTATCAGTAGAAGAAACGAATTGAAGATTTCAAGTGTTGCAACGGTAGTTAATCTATTAATGCTTTTCATACAAAGTTACAACAAAGTCTTCATGTTATGTATCCTGGGTTTGGACAGGATATTACCCGCTTAAAACTTTCTCATATCCCTCCAATTTTGTGTAAATTTAAAATGGTGACAACAGCATGTTGTTCTGGGGATCTAAACTTGAGAAGAGAACAATCCTGCAAAAGTGCTATAAAGTCTAGCTCCGATTAAAGCACACATTTTGTAGAGGATACTGACAGAGAAGAGGACACGCTCACACTTACCATCCGTAACTTCTTTATTTTTTTTTCCTTTCCTTTTTTTAGCGGCTGCCCTCATTTTAGTAGCAAACGTGATGGAGGTACTGCTAAGTCTAGCGTCTGAGATTCAAGATATTGTGGACAGTTTTTATAATTCGTTTAGATTGAGCTTTTTGATTGGCCATTATCCGATGGTAAATTATGACGGATATTCTGTAGAAATGGAGAGGAACACACGATTATACTTACCCCCCAGCCCCTTCTTAGCTTTCTTAGCTTTCTTCATTTTAGCGGCCATGCGACCAGCAAATTGTAAAGACCCAGCGCTTCCACGCTCTGAGGTGGAAGTTATTTTGTGCAATTAGATGGATCTCGTGATATCATGATGAGTTGATTCACACGTTTTAGCCTATCATCAATCTATGATAAATTGATACCGGTGTTATGTTGTTTCAATTGAGGGTTTGGTAATTATTATCGAGTGTAGGAGATAGAGAAGTCACACTGACACTCACCACGTCTACCCTTCTTCTTAGCATTCTTTCCTTTTTTAGTGGCTAACAGACGAGCAGCAAATTGAACGGAGGCCGTTCTACCTTTAAGATCAGGAGCCCGTTCTGAGGTTCAAAATATTGTGGACAAGACAAGATAGGTATGTACTAGGTATGTACTAGGTTTGTACTAGGTATGTACTACGTATGTACTACGTATGTACTACGTATGTACTACGTATGTAGTATGTACTAGGTATGTACTAGGATTTTTGTCCTGCATTTAATTGAGGAACAATCATTCCTGACCGCCGACTGTTACTTGACGTGAAACAAGAAAAGAATGTCAGGTTTTACCTTTTCTTTTACTTTTGAAGACTGTTCCGAAGAATTTTTTCTTGTATTTGGCACTTTCAGCCTCCTTTTTAGCTGGGTGAGCTCCGAGATGCCTCATAAACTCAACGTATCTCTTCTCTGCTGCTTTGTCATTGTTTTCACGTGCTTTTGCTAACCTGTCTGAGAGATTGTTCAGCGTAATAGGTATGAGAAAATTATCTCCATTCACATTTACATCCACTCTTATTGAGAAAAGGGGATGGTTATAAATTGTAATACAATGGTTGCCAATTGTCTTATTGTAATACAATGGTCACAAACTGCATAAGTCATCCGAACAAATCAAAAAGGGTAAAATAATCAGTCACATTTTCTTTGTTCAATGATCAGGCAGGTATATACAGGTATATATCAGGCGTATGTACCTGCAGGCGTGGCGAATAACTGTGATAATGTGAGGGTGTATCAAATCTAATATATCAACTGGAAGTGTGACTGCTTACCTTGGAAGTAATCAACAGCGATGCTGAACATCATATTTTCAGGAGGAGCTGGAATAACAGTTCTTACAGTGACATCTGGTTCTCCTATTCTTGCCTTCTTCGGCCAGGGTCTCTTCTTCATTCCAACCTGCCAAATATTTGTATCAGGAGGTGTCATGGCTGGAAAGTTTTGACTTATCGTGTAAGATTAACGTATTTTACTATTGAATAAGCTATGAATAACATAGAATTAGAGATAATATTATGATTAAGTTTTAACCACTAATAACACCAATCGCCAGGATTGCAGATAAAACACCTACAACTTTATTTAACAAGTAAATATAATTTTCAGGTCACCCAGCAACCAGCAAGTTGTTATAATATTTCAAAGAGAATTGAACCAACGTGTGTGCTCATGACAACAAACTAACCTTGATGAGAGTCTCGTTCAAGGCCTTAAGACTGACTTCCTGAACATTGTTCTTCCACAGGTAAAAGTAAGCTTGTATCCTCATAAAGTGCTCCTCCCTATACTTCTCTATTATTTCACCAAACTCGGGCAAACCGAGGATGTCCATGGCATTACATAGCTTCTCCTCGGCTGACGATCTGTCAGCACTATGCAGCTGAGATATCTAGGGGAGAGAGAACTGGTAAGATAATCTGCTGAGGTTTATCTCTCAAACTGAATGCCACTCCAACATACATATATATAAATCAAGAGGCTTGCATATAATGAACATATTGACACGGGTGCAGAGTTGAGTCTGTACGGAACCCAGTAGTTTCAGATCCTTGTTTAACTTGCCGTACAGCAAGGTCATCCACTACCCCAGCCCGGCGAGGCACATAACTCCCTCTACAACTCCATGACAAATGTTTCATATATACTAGCCGAGTTTACAAGTTATATACCGATCACCTTTAAATATGATTTCCATAACCAAGAGCTACATGTAAAATCACATTATCAATCATACAATCCCCCTCACATATAAATACCGCTCACCTCCTTGCTAGCCTCATGAACAAGTCTGTGAAACTGTTCCGTCTCCTCCAACGGAACCGTAACCAAGTTGGCCACCTTGTACACGTTCTTAGTATCGAAGATGTCCAGGTTACAGATGATCCTGACTTCGTGGTTGTCTGGACAGTGGAGTTTAAGGATACGCTGTCCGATATCTTTGTGATACATTGCCAGGATATCGTGGTTTAACTTTATCGTGAACCGTAGCTGAGAGGGTGGAGGGTTACTTTCAGTAAACTATTTGACCAGCTATCATTCCGTACGTTGTTTATAAGATTGCAACTAGCTGCATGATTTGTGTCTTTTATGTTTATCAACACGTGCAACATAGTAAATAAAAAATACGCTCATAGTAAACAAAAGATTTTAATATAGCCTTTGTATAAGTTTTAATTCTAAATGAAAAGCTCGAATAACTTATATTCGTCCAAAACAATCGGCTTCTTTTGACACACCTATGTTATTAAGTTTCAATACTCTCGCCAATATGAACATGATAAGACCTAAGCTTATGTTAAATAGTTCTTAATCAGTAGGATGGAATTCAAATTAAAAGGCAAATAACTTATGACTGGTACTTTACTGCGCGTGTGAGATTCTATTGCATGTGCATTGGTAAATATTTGAGAAATAGTATACCAAAACATACTTACATCAGTCTGACCCACTGACACAGGCTTAGGAACATAGATAAAGTTCTTATCAATAGCCGGGAACCTCTTCTGCAACTTTGCGTTCGGACAAACGTACAGCCTGAAAAACAACAACTTCTTGGGTTCAGGCTAATAATCAATTAGATAATTAGATAATTAGATAACTAACTGTAAGAAGAACACAATCTCTCAGAGGAAATTATTGAAACTTACGAATGGAGTTCTCTTCCGAATCTCATATCCAAACTATCGTTAGTAATTCCCTCTTTCTGATCAGGTTCAGTTTGAGTTTTAGCTCGAGATTTGAACAGACTCTTTCCGATAGGTAAACTCTGCGCTAACCAATCGAGCAGATCTTGTTCCGTTAGAATCCTTGTCTCAACACCCAGCTTCATTGACTTAGCGATAATCATACCTGCTGCTTCTGTCACCTGTGTAAGGATGCCAGATGGTTACTGATAGAACGATTGGCTCTTACAGCTCTAGGAGTTGAACAATTATTTTGTGGAATTGAGCGCTCGGCAAACAGTTTTCATGACCAACAATTTTGATAACGTTTATATTTATTTAATATATTTATTATAATGCTGATCTTAATCAAACATTTATTTACATTAGAAAATCCTTCGTGAGTATTGAGCCATTCTTCAGCTAGATTACACATCTCAATAACTTGGGTGCTGTCCGCTTTGAAGTTAGCTAGCTCCATCCTCGGCTGGATTCGTAAGCGCTCTGCGTGTTTACAGGCCTAAGATAAGATGTAATATGAAAGTATTGAATCAAGTGTTAAAAAGGAAACAGTAGGGGTATGTTTTCCATGTGATGTCGAAATCAGTGACCATGAAACTATTGTTGTACTTGTAGTGAACTTTCAGATCCTGACCTCATCAATGTCGAGAAGGGGCAGGACGAATCGTTCCCAAATATTGTCACCATCGGTTACCATACTGCAAAGTGTTTTCAACCAATCACCGCCACTTTTGGGCACTGCCGGAGGGTTTATATCCTTCCCAGCGCCCATAGATAATATCAGTTCTATATCCGCTCCTCGCCATCTGACAGGGAGGAGTATTTGTTAAATTCATTTTATAAATAATTATGTATCATGGAGCTAGAGTGTGAGTCATTTGGTGTTTTCTGTTGAATTTGTAGCACGGTTATTTTAACTTTTCGTGCGTATGGATGAGTATTAGCCGTTAAAAGTAAATTTCATACTGAATTAATGAATTATGTAATATGTATGCGTATTTAAATTGGATTTGAATTCTTTAAAACAAAAGAAAAAAAGAAGCGATGCTGCAATTTCTCTCGTATCTTTAAGTTTAAATTCTCGTATATAACCGGACAGCGGACATGGTGTAACACAGTGATACACAAATAAACTTATCGCTTAACACAGCTAGATAAGGTAGTGACTTAGTGATAAGAGAAGAAAAATAAGCAACGAATGCAAAATTTAGTCTTGTCTTTAGCAGAGCTTGTGAGGCGTGAGCTACTGCAAAATGACAATATAAACAATGCAACTAAGATAAAACCGCACAAACCTCTCTTTAGCGAGGTCAATCCCCTGCACAGCAGGACAGTTGGCTCCCAGACCACCATCTATGTAATCTGTTCCGTCACCCTTCGGAGCTGAAGACAAATGGGAGGTAGGAGTCAGCAAAATGAGGCACAGAATGACAAAACTCGGTCCATTATATACGACGAAATTAAGTTTAAAATGTAGTCATCTTCTTGTTAAAACTTACATTTGACGGTGAAGGGAGTAGTGAAATAAACTGGAGCATCACTACTGGCGGTCAGAAACTGAATGAGGTCCCAATCTTTATACTTGGGGTTGTGGGAATCAAAGGTCTCCAGGGTTTGGGATTGCCAGTTGAGAGCCACACACGCACAGATGCACTCCCTGCGGTGGTGGCCACCTCCCATCAGGGCACGGGTTGGATTACCGATGTTGTAGTTATCTTCTAGTGTGTCGCTCACTCCGTCAATCGAGTAATGACCTGCGGAGTTAATGACGTTGCTGTTACATAAATATCAACAATTTTCCAAGGTCGTCAATTGGCAATCCCAAAGAACCAGACTGATAAAATGAAAGAACAATCCTCAACATATAAACTGAAAATATTTAGAACATGTTTATCTACGCACCTTGTCCAACGAGATCACCGATTGTTCTAAAGAGAGTGTCTCCAAGCCCAACTTTTCCAGTCGAACTCTGGTCGTATTTTTTAGAAAATATGTTTTTTATGGATTCCAGGTAGACGTCCCTGCACTCCTGCAAAGGTTAATTAGAGCGATCACAGATCACAGATTACATATCACAGATCACAGATCACAGATCACAGATCACTGCACACAAATGACCAAAGAATCCAACTAACAGTCAGTAAAAATATTCTCGAGATTTAAAATCGTCCTCGACAAGAATATACTTGCCTGAGGTGAGAGACCCTTGTATCCCATACCAAACGACAGTATACTCCCAGTACTGGTCCCGATCAACAGGTCGAACATGTCTGTAGCAAGCAGTTCTTCTATAAACTTCTCGGGGTTGTAGACCTCCCTGTAATGCTGGTCCCCCACTCCTAGCAGCCTATCTGGGCAGAGGAGCAATCGTTAAGTTATAAAACAAGCTATTACATATAAATCAAATTAAAACTTTTACACGACCGTTCTTTTAATCTGTCACCTAGCAACAAGAAAGTAGGTTCTTAATACTTATAGGTAAAAATACAGGTCATTTTAAGCACATCCAATAACCTTAAATGTACTAATTTAATGCACAAAGTTAAAAACTAACCTCTTATGATGTTAGCTTTCTTAGTTTTCACCGGTTGGTCCCAGTAAAATATAAGAAGATCTCTGTTTTCATACTTCGCCATTTTTGGTGAATTAAAGTTGGTAAGTAGGAATGTTGCCGGCACTAACATTTTCATGCATTTCATCTGAGAAGATTTAAATCTTAACTGCTAAAGAATTGATCAAATCGATAAAATTGGGTTGTATATTATGAAATAAATAGTGCAAAGGTGACGCAGATTTTCTAACATATTTAAGAATATGTCAAAATATGTATGATACGTGACCATACTCTTTACTCTAAAAATAGCTGCTGCCCAAATGTCAATGACCTCCATTACACATAAGTTATAAATAAATGTGTAATGGAGGTCATTGACATTTGGGCAGATGCCAAATTTTATGTGACATAAATATTAAATATTAATAACGTTGACTTCAATATTCTTTATAATCATACGACGATGTTAAATGTTTATACACAATTTTTAAACATCCCGAAAAAATTTAAAGATAAACATTTTAATTTTAAAAGAAATGTACCAACCTTTGTCCCGTCGATTTCGAAGAAAGGCAACACATCTGACTTGATTTTCTCTCTAGTTTCATCTGTCTGATCGGAGTCAATTAACGCCCAGTACTTAGATGCCCCGTGAAGAAAATCCTGTATCGGAAAAAACGATCATCGAGTGACAAAGATAAATTCTGAAGAATTCACCTTAAAAAAGAACGTTATTATTCATATCAGCAGACTGATAAAAGTTCACCTTTTACAGAAAATAATTCATCTTACTACAAAGGTGTGCCTCTTATTGTGTAGCAGTGAAATATATCCATGGCTCTAATCAGTTTGAGTAACTTAAACATGTTAAATAGCACAGGGGGACGGTCGTTCAACATTTCAAGAATCTACCTTACCTTGATTTCTAGTCCGGGTACTCTTCTTAAGTCCTCGTCCTTAAATATGGCCCTCTTTTGGCGATGTGTGAACGGTATAAACATGTCATTCTGGTCTATTGCTCCACTCATAATACTTATAACCTTTCTGTGATCTGACAAATCCTTAGTTCGATCTATTCGTTGTATCTAAATGAGGATTTTGGGTAAAATAATATCGCAGAAATAAATTTTCATTTCACTGTCATTTGTAAAGACACGGTGAATTCTTTTAAATGTTTTTAGCTGTAACATGATCTTATCGTATGAGAGCTATCTGTAGACTTACCTTCTTGAATGTTTTCGAATTATGATCCTTGTTCAAAATACTGAGCACAAGAGCTTCGATATAATCTTCTTTAATCCTTAATTTCTCTGCAGCTTTGGCTTCTTTCTCAGCAGCCTTGGCTTCTTTCGCTCCAATCTTTTCTGCTTTCTCTAATGTCATGTCCTTGTCCTTATCTTTCTCCTTATCTTTATCCTTATCCTTATCCTTATCTTTATCTTTATTTTTGTCTTTTTCGTCTGTTTCGAGAACTAATGTGACCCAGTTGAGCACATGGGGCTGGTACTGTAAAGAGACTCGTTAAGTTATAAACGAGTAGCAACCATTTTAAGATAATTACAGTTCGGCCAAAATTAAATTAAAATACCGCTGTAGAAAAAAGCTGGTCACTGTAACTGGTCGCCACGGTTTACCGGTGGTTTAAGATGATAGAAAATTAGGAGATAATGAGGCTAATTATTAGTACCTTTAAAGTTGTAGCTACAGTTATGAAAATTTTATCAAGAATTGTAGCCTCGATGACGCCTTTTGCACCGCCTCCGTCCAAACACAACATCCTCACCCCAGAATCTATCTTAGGCACATCTCTGAAAAACGATAGAATATGAATTATTAATTATACTTTCAATTGATAACAATAATTATGGTAGAAGTACACGAGTATTAGATAAGGAATGTTTATAACAGGCGAATAAAATGTTGTACTGAAATTCAATTCACATTTTCCCACGATTATACAATTTAATTAATTTCGGAATTATCTGTTTTTATTTTTATTGGCAGGTCATCAGTGCAAGTGTTTGGAGAGAAGCACCTGCTTTATACTCACTTAGCACTCCTGCCACACAAAGCGTTATACTCACTTAGCACTCCTGCCACACAAATCGTTATACTCACTTAGCACTCCTGCCACACAAAGCGTTATACTCACTTAGCACTCCTGCCACACAAATCGTTATACTCACTTAGCACTCCTGCCACACAAAGCGTTATACTCACTTAGCACTCCTGCCACACAAAGCGTTCATAGATCGGTCAACTTTAGCTGAACCATTCGCGATATCTCCTGAAAATAAAATGTCAGAAAGTTCAATGTCAACTGAATTTGTTGGTTATTCAAAAGAAAGAAGGAAGACAAATGACCACATTCGATGACTTTAAAGCCTGATTTAAGATAATTATAGAATTACAAAATCTCACCATCATTGCCAGCAGGTGCCACAAGTATGCATTCGTCTTTTTGGTCCGCCGAGGCGTCAGTCTGAAACAAAAATCGGTTAAGCTTAGTTGAAAAAAGTAGCTTTCTTATTAGATTTTTGAGAGCGCTTTATCGGACTAATCTGTCGACAGTTAGATAAATTGGTTCTTCCTGCTTTATAATGAAGATGCCAGTAGTAATTTATATAAAATTAATCAAATAGTCAATAGTTTGAAACATTTACAGTGTAAGTAACTTCTGGTCACTGGTAATACTCAGAAATGATATGCACAGATTTCAAATTGCTCCTTACAAAATAACACTATTAATGCTAAGTACCAAACAACAAGTGGGAGGTGGATCGTTGGTATACCATTAATTCGATTTAACACCGCAATTCCAGTCGCAAGCCTGGGACCACTACTAGCATAGTCACAACATCTACAAAGCTGCCATATAGCCTGACTGACAATTTTCTCGACTGACTGACAATGTTTCTTCTTTTTCCCCATTTAGAATACAAAGATTTGTACATTTTAGCTTATGATTAATATTATATTTTTACCTATTATATATAGTTTACGTAGATTGAAGAGCTGGAAAGTGAACACTTTTTCTCTTGAGTTTGTAGGATTGGTTTTTGAATTCCTTAATATACCAACGAATTTTAGCAATTGTATCGTATTCATCATTAATTAACAATACAGTCGTCAAGTAATGAAAATATTTCACTAATGATTGCTGTTTACTGTTAATACTAAGCTAGCTTAATCTATTCTGTGATTGTCATTTGTCACTACCATTCCGTTTATCCGTCTTTTGGTTGTTCAGTTTTTCCTTGTCATGATTTCTACTGTCTAAGGTCACAATCAAAAATTTAATCTGAGTGGTCTATCGGTCAGTCTATAAGTGAACCATGGTATGAGAAGAGAAATTATCGTGAAATACGGATATCATTAACAGCTGAAAGTGGTATGCATTACCTCAGGTTTTATCACATGGACCTCAGCTCCAAATTCAGACTTAACTAATCTAACTTCAATTAAATTATTCGACGAATCCCAAGTCTTAATCTGAACATCTCGAGACGGAGTTAAAGGCCACGGAACTTTCACTGAAGACGATTTGTCTGAAACCTTGGAATTAGAGGACGTCGAAGAGCTCGTTGAAGATATTCTCAACCAGGTGGACGACTTAGAACTTGAACTGATACTCGAACTCGGCGATTTACTGTCTGCACGAATCATTGAGACAACAGTTACTAATACTATATGCAAATGTCAACACAAACAATGCAATATTTAAACAACAGGTGTGTCGGTTTGTGTAGCTACCACTGCGTACAACCACGTATTATTTACACCTCTGACTCTCTGAGGAAGTAGTTTACTACTTTGGAGAGTGTGTGACTTATCACTTAATATATTGACCAGTGTTATGAGGAGGAAAGGTTTGGAAATGGTTCGTTTACCCATCCCGTTTAATAATTCTAGCAGTGTAATTGTACAGCCATAATTGTTATCAAAGTATCAAGTTAGACCTTGAAATGGTTCTGTTTCTTATAAAAGGAAGAAAAGAGGGTGCGCCTGGGAAACTAACCGCGATCAAGTGTACATATGGTTTCTCTTGTGGCTTCCCTTTCTGTTTCTGTTTGGATTTCACCTTAGGCCTGTTTTTCGGTTTCTCTTTCTCAGATTTCAGACGGGAGAACTTATTTGAGACCATGGAAGATGAGAGTGAACCGTGTACAACTACAAAACCGCATAGAACTTTAAATATGTGGCCAGGTCCCGGGCAGATTGAGAGGCAGACAACAATTGAGTAAAGTTGCCAGCTGCACCTCACGGCAGATCAGGTTTCTTCCTCAGTTTATTACGAGTTATAACTCAGGGCTGTAGGTAGGGGTTTAAAGTTTGGCCCTAAAGTTTGTTAAGACCAATTAGTTTTAGAGTACAAACAATGTTGGGGACTTTTTCAAGTTAGAGACTCTGCCATAAAAAGTAACAAGTTGCGAGCTCTTTCTGTTACTTATCGGTTTACCAAGCGGGATCCTTCTAATTCAATCATGCCTTCTTAATCTTATAGAAAAGTAACTTTATCATTGTATGTCACATATAATGTGTGAGGGGGAAAGTTGGGAAATAGAGAGGGAGAAACGAGACAATTGTCCAAGATCCGATTATTTCTCTGTAGATTAAAATGCTTCTTAGGCCCTCCGTTTATTTTATAAAACTATAAATCTATTTTTCATTTTGAAACTGAAAATTTGTTTCAGTTAAAGTTAAAACATCAGTCAATCGAAGTCAACTAAACGTCTGCTGAACAAGTTCAATATGTGGTTATATGATGGTGTGTGATGAGTGATGACTTGAGTCTCTGAAATCTGAATATTAATCCGTTCCCACGACAACTCACCATTCTACTTATTAGTGGCGCTTTACTTCGATTCGACCCAGTCCTATCTCGCCGGGATTTGAGTCTAGTTCGACCTGCCATTCAGCGACTGGTTGTACTGGGCTAACCGACCACGACTATAAAAAGAGACTACAAAATAACGAAACGATCTTACAACAGAATATTGCAGGTATTGGAAAGAGAAATAAAGATAAGGGTCACATTTAAATTACATATAATGTGAGTCGGTACTAATTTGTTGACAGTTAGGGAATAAGGTAATTATCGTAGTGACCTGAAATTAAAGTGACCTGAAATTAAAGTGACCTGAAAATATTAAAGTGACCTGAAATTAAAGTGACCTGAAAATATTAAAGTGACCTGAAATTAAAGTGACCTGAAAATATTAAAGTGACCTGAAATTAAAGTGACCTGCGAAATTAAAGTGACCGGACCTGAAGTTAAAGTGACCTAAAATTAAAGTGACCTAAAATTAAAGTGACCTAAAATTAAAGTGAACTAAAATTAAAGTGACCTGAAATTAAAGTGACCAAAAATTAAAGTGACCTAAAATTAAAGTGACCTAAAATTAAAGTGACCTAAAATTAAAGTGACCTGAAACCAGCTTATGTACATTTACAGGGCCTGGGGAGTTAGGAGTACTTGTATAACATGCAATAAAACTTGGGCTTTTGCATTTTCTCGACCAAAGAAAAAGTATTGTGTGATATCTTTTAAATGTGTAGCTTCACCCCTGCTCTCCTAAGTAGCAAAGAATCTAAACTTATGAAATTGAAGCCCCTTTGTCCCCCGCAAATATGATGACCCTGAATCATAGAATTGCAATTCCAGTAGTATCTGCATCTATTCTCTATAGATCTGCACGACGATTCTAAAAATCAAGAAGAGATAGAAAAGAACGAGTCACCGCAAAAGAAGTAGCTTCTAGAGAGCTAAAGCATAATATGTTATATGCGCTAAATCTTTAAAATGGTTGTATATATAATTTAATTTTATGATTCGAGAATCTGTATATTTAATTCTATTGGATCGTGACTACCATATTATATTCTTCTTCCGCTATTCTCGCCTATACGTAAAGAATAATACAATAAATATTTTAAATACTATTTATTACAGACATATCTAATTTACTAAGTGCGTACCGTGCTTATTGAATCATAATTCTAGGCGATATCAAGTAACGGAACTGCAAACCTGGTGTTAGGGGGAGTTAACCGTTAAGTATACAGGTTGTACAATCTAACTTATGAAATTGAAGCCCCTTTGTCCCCCGCAAATATGATGACCCTGAATCATAGAATTGCAATTCCAGTAGTATCTGCATCTATTCTCTATAGATCTGCACGACGATTCTAAAAATCAAGAAGAGATAGAAAAGAACGAGTCACCGCAAAAGAAGTAGCTTCTAGAGAGCTAAAGCATAATATGTTATATGCGCTAAATCTTTAAAATGGTTGTATATATAATTTAATTTTATGATTCGAGAATCTGTATATTTAATTCTATTGGATCGTGACTACCATATTATATTCTTCTTCCGCTATTCTCGCCTATACGTAAAGAATAATACAATAAATATTTTAAATACTATTTATTACAGACATATCTAATTTACTAAGTGCGTACCGTGCTTATTGAATCATAATTCTAGGCGATATCAAGTAACGGAACTGCAAACCTGGTGTTAGGGGGAGTTAACCGTTAAGTATACAGGTTGTACCGCATAAAGTGTGACTTTCTTGAAAAATCACCTTAATAATACCAAGAAATCCGTGTGTGTGTGTGTGTGTGTGTGTGTATGTTTGAAATTTCCGAACGGTTATACAAAATAAACGGTAAGAGTTATGAAGACCTAAAATTAAAGTGACCTGAAACCAGCTTATGTACATTTACAGGGCCTGGGGAGTTGGGAGTACTTGTATATAAAACTTGGGCTTTTGCATTTTCTCGACCAAAGAAAAAGTATTGTGTGATATCTTTTAAATGTGTAGCTTCACCCCTGCTCTCCCAAGTAACAAAGAATCTAAACTTATAAAATTGAAGCCCCTTTGTCCCCCGCAAATATGATGACCCTGAATCATAGAATTGCAATTCCAGTAGTATCTGCATCTATTCTCTATAGATCTGCCCGACGATTCTAAAAATCAAGAAGAGATAGAAAAGAACGAGTCACCGCAAAAGAAGTAGCTTCTAGAGAGCTAAAGCATAATATGTTATATGCGCTAAATCTTTAAAATTTTTGTATATATAATTTAATTTTATGATTCGAGAATCTGTATATTTAATTCTATTGGATCGTGACTACCATATTATATTCTTCTTCCGCTATTCTCGCCTATACGTAAAGAATAATACAATAAATATTTTAAATACTATTTATTACAGACATATCTAATTTACTAAGTGCGTACCGTGCTTATTGAATCATAATTCTAGGCGATATCAAGTAACGGAACTGCAAACCTGGTGTTAGGGGGAGTTAACCGTTAAGTATACAGGTTGTACCGCATAAAGTGTGACTTTCTTGAAAAATCACCTTAATAATACCAAGAAATCCGTGTGTGTGTGTGTGTGTGTGTGTGTATGTTTGAAATTTCCGAACGGTTATACAAAATAAACGGTAAGAGTTATGGGACTGGTTTTTT